GTGAGCAGGCAGAGCAGTGGGTAAATGCAGAACAATCCCAAGTCAATAAGTTACTGTCTCCACTTTGTTACATCAACTGCGTGTTTTATTTTTTAATAATCTGCCTTTTAAGTATCACTGATTCTTAAAACGTGGTTCTCACAGTGTCTACGTCTGGGCAAACTGAGGCCAAAGACATGTTATGGAAGAGCAAGGTGATGGATTGTATGACATATTTTCTGCCCTCTGAACATGAGAAATGCTTCTTTTGTGGGCCGGGAGGGGCAGGAAATGCAGGATTATTTAGGATACGCTGGATAAAGAGGTAATGATTGTCAGTATTACAACGTAGATTGCTTTGCCGTGCTGTGGTCCAAGAATGAATGTGCTCTACATGTATAGTTCTAAAAGTCAAGCAATATCAGGAGAAAAATAACATCGTTGCTCTTATTGAGATTGTGACCTAGGCTTTGTACAACCCCTGCCTGATTTTTCTTTTTTGTGTGTCCTTGAAATTTCCGCAGTTTTTGCTAGAAGTTTTTTGAAACCGAGCTTCTACCTGTCAGGGTGGCAGCACTTCATCAGCTCTCCACTTCCTGATCAAAGAGCAGCATTTGTTTTCTTGCCCTTCTGTTTGGAGGACGATGTGTGGCGCTTCTAGCGTTGGGAAGAAGATAAATCTCCGGTCCCTGTCCTCTCCCGAAGGCAAAGACTCAGCTGGGATACAGAGGAATGAGTACCAGGTACTCTCCAATACTTTGCCTCAGTGTTCTTCAGGTGTGAGTATCGGCCAGTTATTCGACTAGATACTAATCCTTGCATTTGATGTAGCACCTTACCATGTCGTCGAGACAACCCAAAGAGCTTCACAGCATTTTACTGTAAAGTGTAGTGACTATTTATAGTCTAATACAGCAGCCAACTCACACATAGCAACGTCCCGCAAACAGCCGTGAAGCCAGTTACCAATTTTATCCGGGAGATTGTTAGCTAGGACATTGGGAGAAACACTTACACATGTGCGTTCCAGGAGTCAGTGGATAGCAGTCAGGACTGAGAACCTTTGCAGATTTTCCCTCACCTCCTATCGCCCCTCCACTCCCGCCCCCCATCTGTAGCATAGGGACACTAAGATCAGCTGTAACATGTAAACTGGTGTCCAGTCTGAGATCAGGTAATTCAGGATAGACCAAAGAGAAAACGCTGGATCTGTGAGGCTCATTTTTACAGAAGTTTTACCAGTTGAGCCATTGAGGAAGCAGTCAATGCTATTTTACATTGTCAGTTGGTTTCTATCGATACAGGTTAATACAAAACAGTCATATGGGAGTATTTTTTCAAGTAGCAGCTTAGCGTTTAAATGTTTGCAAATTGTCAAAGCGACGTTCTCTGATATAGTTGTGTAGTCCCTGGAAATCATGCTGGTATTTCTGGAAAATGCTGATACAAGTCACTCTTGCTCACAGCTTTTTTTTTCAAATTTCGAACAATTTCCTAGTTTCAGAAAGTGGATGAAAAGCTCTTCTGATAATATAGTGGATAGGGACACCTCCTGGTGCTGCACTAGGCCTCATAGATAGAACCTTGAATCCTTGTCTTTGAATCCTTGTCAGGGTTATCTGATCTCAGCCAGGGCAGAAATGGTCACAACTTCAATGGGTTAAAAACTCATCTAGTGTTTCCCTACCTGATCATGATCCAGAGACTCCTGTGTGTGCACGCACAAGTGTGATTATTTGAGGCCAGGATGTGGCTTGACTGTGATGCCTTTGGAGTCAAAAGGGGTGCACACTAATCATGGCAGTTAGGCAAGGTATCCCGAAGAATTGTGTCGCTGGAGAAGAAATATCAATCAAATATCTTAATGACAGTACAAGGGGAAGAGAGAAATTAGTTGGGGGGGGGAAAACAAATGTTACTGAGAAAAAGTTGTAGTGCATCTTATCAGACATGCAAATAGAATTTAGTCAAACTTTGAACTTTGACTTTTAACACAAAACTACCAAGAATTGAGGAGACAATAAAAATATTCCAATTTATTTAGAAAATGTATATACAGGTATTTTATTTTCAGTCTTGATGTTATCAATGATCAGTGCCACATTCCCTCCACATCCCACCTAATCAAAAAGAGAAGGAAGTTCCTCCTGGAGTCCTGACCAATGATCCTCCAGATATAACTAAGTTGTTTTCTTCACGGCCATTTGTGGGATATTGCTCTGCTCAAAAATGGCTGCTGCGTTCACCTACAAATATAGTTACTACACTTTGCAGCAAACCATGTGAAGGACTTTGAGATGTTTCGAAAGCTTGATAAGGTTCTATATCAAATGGAAGAATTATTCCCCAATCCAAGTTTGAAACCTGTCTTCATTCCTGTCTGGAAGTTTTAAAATTGGGCAAACTTCTTACAGTCTACGTCTTGGTCACATTACCGTCCAATTCCCTTCTTTACTTATGTTTTGACAGATGGTAGAGTTGGTATCTCAAAGCATCAATTTCTCACAAATACATCCCTCCT